TGAGGGGCTGGGGTGTGGCTCAGTGGTAGAGCCCCTGCCTAGAATTCTTCAGTGAGGGTCAGGGGGGTGTGGCTCTGTAGTTAAGTACTTGCCTAGCATGTATAAGTGGAGTGTGCTCACACACAAACACACACATGTAGGTATGCAAAAACACCAGATACAAGTCTGTAAGGAAATCAATACTTTATTTATATATAGTATCGGTTTGTTATTTATTTATTATTGTGTGCACACATGTACACACAACTGCCACGTGTGTCTGGCAGCGAGAGGACAGCTTTTGGGAGTTGGCTCTTGGTTCCCCACTGTGGAGCAGGTCTCACTTAGGTCTGCTGCCTTGCAAGGTACTCAGGTTAGCTGGCAGGAGAACACCCGAGATTCTCCTGTCTCCATCTCCCATCTCAGCACAGGAGTGCTCGGGTTTCAGATATGCACTGCCACTCCCGGCTTTTCACATGTGATCTGAAAAGGAAACTCGGGTCACCAAGCTGTGATGACAACTACTTTTACCCAGGAGTCACTCGCCAATCCCAGTTTGTTGGTTTTGAAAAGCTTAGTTATAAATTTTACTGATGTAAAATATTAACAGGGGAGCCAGGCGGTAGTGGCGCACACTTTAATCCCACCACTCAGGAGACAGGGCCAGGTGGATCTCTGTGAGTTCAAGGCCAGCCTGGGCTACAGAGTGAGATCCAGGAAAGGCGCAAAGCTACATACAGAAACCCTGTCTGGAAAAACCAATATATAATATATATATTAATATATATATTATATATAACATATATTATATATAATATTATATATATATATATATTACCAGGGGAAAGTAGGTGTGGGGTGCGCAGGAATCCTCTGTACCCTCTGTATCAGTCACTTGTCTGTTGCTGTAACAAAGCACCAGGATCCATTGCAAAGAGTTTACTTGGGACTTAACAGTTGCCTGGGACAAGAGTCCATCATCCTTATTGAGGAGAACCGCGGCAGCAAGCGGCCGTGGAGACTGGAGCAGGAAGTGGAGAGCTGCGGGCTCACATCTCAAACCACAAACAGGAAGCAGAGAGCACACTGAGAGAGGCACCTCAAAGCCTGCCCTCGGTGGCATACTTCCTCCAGGAAGGCCGTACTTCCTCATCCTATGCAAACAGCACCACCAACTGGGGACCAAGTGTTCAACGCCTGAGACTATGGGGGACATTGCATTCAAACCACCATGCAATGTTTGCAACTTAAACATCAAACAAAACAGAACATGGTGTGTGTGTGTGTGTGTGTGTGTGTGTGTGTGTGTGTGTGTAAGAAAGTTTAAGAGCTGGGCATGGTGGCACACACTTGATGGTAGAGCCAGGCGGATCTCTGTGAGTTTGAGGCCAATCTGGTCTACAGAGTGAGTTCCAGGAAAGGCTCAAAGCTACACAGAGAAACCCTGTCTCGAAAAACAAAACAACAACAACAAAAAAGAATCAACTTACATTGCTCATCTGTAAGATGAATACAGGCTCTGAACAGAGCTTTTTCCTTCTTCCAGTACATTTTCCTTTTTATTCTTCCCGCCATCCTTTGGTGCAGGAGGAAGATGGAGATACCCTAGGGAAGCTTTGCTGGTCAGAGTAATGCTGCTCCCGGCCTCCATCGTTATCCTGTCTGACCTCCCAATGTTCAAGTGTGTCCCCCAAAGTCCCCATGTTGGAATCTTAACCCCCAGTGCAGGCAGCCAAGTGAGAAGTGGGGCTTCACAAGAGCATGTTGCTCTTCGGGCCAGATGGAGTCATGCTGCACTCTGTGAATGGCATAGTGTCACTATTCTAGGAGTAGCTCAGTTACCGGGCAGCAGGAAGCTGGCCTCTCCTAGTCTCTCGCTCTCCATTCCCTTCCTGTTTCCTCTTTCACCATGGATGGCGCAGCAAAATGGCCTGACCCAGGTGTCAGCAGCCTGATCTTGGACTTCCCAGCCTCTAAAAGTACGAGAATTATATTTCTTCTCTTTATAAATACCCCATCCCGTGTTATTTTGTTATAGCATCTCAAAACAGACTGACACTTCCTGACAGTACTAACGCTTAGTTGTGGCCGAGGTTTACTGAGATCCTCGGTGCCTGGACCAGGAGTTTTAGTCATCACTAACATGTACCCTTGTAGTCGGAAGTTTTCTCCAGTACCACCCGGCCGCATGGTCCTTCAGTCACTTATAAAATAATCATTCAGAGACTTCATATTACCAACTGCATAGCCTGTGTCAGGCTTCTTGCTAGCCAGCTCTATAACTTAAATTAACCCATTTCTATTAATCTGTGTTTGGTCACATGTTCTGTGGCTTACCGGTCTGCTGGCATGTTGTTCCTCAGATGACAGGCTGGCGTCTCCCTTCCTCTCCTTTCTCTTCCTGTCTCTCTCTTGGATTTTCCCACCTGGCTCCATCCTGCCCTGTCATAGGCCAATACAGCTTTATTTATCAACCAATCAGAGCAACACATATTCACAGCATACAGAAAGACACCCCACAGTATACCCTTACTGACAGAGCCCTCCAGCTCCTCATGGTGACAGGAACTCTGGCTGAAACAGACCTGGGCTCTAAGATTGCAGAGTTTTCTTAACATTGTTGGTTTCTTTTTTTCCTAGCATCTGACCATGTTGTCTCATAACCCTTAGATCTAGAAATATGGCAGGGAGCAGGGGCTGGGGGATGGCTCTGTGATTAAAGCACTTGATGCACGAGTGGACCAGAGTTTGAGTCCCAGAACTCAGGGTGGTGGATGTGATGGCTCGATTAAAAGTCCAGTCCTGGGAGACAGAGACAGGCAGTCCCTGGAGCAAGATGGCTAGCCAGGCTAGCTGTACTGGCGAACTTTGGGTTTCATTGGAAAGACCCTGCCTCAATGAATAATCTAAAAAAGAAAGAAGTGAGAAAAGAAAGAAAGAAAGAAAGAAAGAAAGAAAGAAAGAAAGAAAGAAAGAAAGACACACAGAGAATAATTCCCAGCATCAACACTGAGCCTGCTCTCTCT